TGCTGAACCATCTGGAAAGGCAGCTCCATGTGGAAGGTATTACAGGCAATGGGCCCGGATGTAACGACAGTGTCAGTGACTCAAGCAAACTCCATCATCCCCAAATAGGATTGCAGTTGACATACCAGACTGAGCTGATAAAGGCACTCCTGGCTACCACCTGCGGAATACTCCACAATTGCTTCCACATTACATACTCAGTTCCTCAGGCAAAGCGCATCCATGTCTAAAACCAGGTGCAGGCCTCCTGGCATAGTAATTTGCTTTCCTGCTGCCAGGACCCAAGAACTGTCTGGACTATGTTTCTGTTTCAGATGCCAGCAGAAAGCTCCTTTGCTCTCTTTGGTGGAAGCATAATTTGTTGCTGCTGTTGCTGCTGCTGATGATGAAGATGAAAAAACTCCTCATAAAGACAAATAGATATATATTTTAAAGCACCAATGGGTCAAGAGCAAAAAGGGGTGCTCCTTGGCAGACCCGTCTGTGGCTGTGTGTGGCCTCACGCGGTGAACCACTGAACTGCTAGCAGCAGCCTTCTCGGTGAAGGTCCCCAGACGGCCTCTACCTACTCAGGCTGGCCATGGGATTCCTCCAGACAGGAGGGCATAGACTGCCTAGAACTGCGGCCACAGTTCCTCTTTATGACCGATCTTGCATCCATTAAAATGGTTGCAGTAGCTCTAGTAGCCGGGGGGAAAGGAAGAGTGCTACCTAGAGGTTCAGAAAGAATCCCATCTCTTCTGTCCATCAAGAGTAGCAAGTTCAATGCCAACTGAAGCTATTGTGCCAATCTTGGAGACCATTTCCCACTCCTGATGCTAGTAAGAGCCTGTCAGGCTATTCAGCAGCCTATACATTTGAAAATAAATAGAAATAAAAACAAAACATCTTCCCATGTCTTTCATTCCCAAATCTGATTCCCTCTGTAGAGGTAAGTGAGGATTTCCCAACAAAAATGGTTTAATGCAATCAGAAATGGGGGCTGAAACCCAAAATAATCAATCAGGCTACACCCTCTGGCAAAGAGATAGGTAAAGTTCTCTACCTTATCCTATCAAGGAACTCCAGTTACAACTGGACCCAGTTTAGTGGCTAGATGGATCGAACAATGACCTCCAGAATCCACCACTACATCTTTCGAACATCGTGGGCTCAAAAACAAGGAAAGAAAAGTTGTCTAGTAACCAAAATTCAAAACCTTGAAAAATCTCTAAAGAGGCACCCATACCTGCATTTAAATCCCCAGCTGAAATAATTGGAGTATTTAAGCAAAGTAATTCAGCATGATGGCCCAATGAAAGCATGAAAGCTCATTCCAAAATAGATTGCTGTCCCTCAGACTACACTGAGGGGGAACACAAGCATTTATTATCAACAGCTGCCATAGACCTATGGAGATTAAACTAGCTTGGGCAACAGAAGAGTCAACAATTCTTGATCTCATGTGGGTAATGACACTCTGCCAAGCCGCCGCTTTAGTCTCCTTATAATCTTTGTGTGACTTGCTTTGACTGACAGGGACTGATACCCAGGAAGGGTTATTTCCACTGCAGATCAAGTCTCCTGAAGAAGGATGACATCAGACTGATTTCGAAAACTGGAAACCTCCTTAGCCATCCTTGGTTTCCATCCAGTGACACTCCACTAAAGGAGCTGTATGGGGGTTTCCTGTTTAATCCTGGTCCTCTAAAATATTTATAGCCGAGTCAAAAACAGCCACATTGGAGCCAATTGCCTGATCAGAATTCTGGTTCTGGCTCAGAGCAAGCAAGTAGCACAAAGACTGTGCTCCATTTCTGGAGCCTTGTTTTCTTGCTGCATTGTTTTGCTTTTCTTACTCTTTCTTGCTATCTTTCCTCTTCTCTTGTTTATTTTCATTCTTAGTGTTTCCTAATGTTATTTAGCACCAGTGTTTTATCTATGCAAGACAGTGGGAAGCAAAACTTAACTTGTGCAAGAAGATTGTTTAGCTTATGAGTGTTTTTCTGGGCTTTTGAGTTGTCAGTTCCTATGATTTTTTAAAATGTGTTTTTGAGGAAATGCCAAGTAAGTCACTGGGTGGTTCACCGATCTGCAAACATGGCATAATAGACCCAGTTCCTAATAAACATTTTTATACACTAACTTTTTATATATTCTATCTTTTATTACATATACACACACGCACGCACTAGCTCTTATTCAAGTTTTATTTTGGGTTTCTTGTCCTATTATTTAGGGGTTTTTAAAGCTATATGCTTTTACTGTTTTAAAATTATTTATTTTTTCCTCTTTTTAAACTATTTAACTTTTATCTGTTCCTTATTTAGATTGGGAGACATGGGGCATAGGAGTAAGGATCAATTCTCCACATGGGCTGGTCCAGCACAAGCAAGGAAAATTGGATGAAATGTTTCCCCCTGCTGCTCCTGCTGCATAATCACAAAAAATGAGGATGAAATTTTGGGGAATGATTATCCTGCTCCTTTTCTGCTGCTTCATGTGATGGATGGCAGGTCTGAACTTCCTGTTGAAATGGGATACAAACCCCCTGAAACTTCAGAAGGTCTTGACCCTCTTCTTTATTCCCAAATTTTTGTTAAACAGACATTTCTGGTTGCCCAGATCTTGGAGAAAATGTAGAGAAATTAGATTTGGTTGCCAGCAAAATAGTTGATTTAAAATGTTTACACGATAAGGTTGATCACATTTTCAAGCTCTTGAGCCTCCTCGGATGTTGAAGTCAAATGAGAAAGAGGTGGGAAATAAGGGAAATTAGTTCCTGCCACAGCAACCTCTGCCCCACTCCTTGGTGATCAATCAAGTAGTGTTGTCTATATTTCCCAAAACTGGAAGACTGCCAAGATGGAATAGTAGATGGCTTATTTTAAATAATCTGTTTCTGTTGCTCAGGAGCCCTCCATACAGAAGTGATCTGAAATCCCTTTTTATTCAGACCAACTCATATCAAGCAACTAGAATCATGTTAACCTTTTATTTCCCTTTCTCAGTCTGGAGAAGGAGAGAGAAATTTGCACAGAACCAAGTTTATTTGCAGAAAGCATTTAGAATCCTGCTATTTTGCACCTAGTTAAGCTAACACAGCTAGTGAATAATAATGTACCATCAAAAGCTATTCACAAATTGGATAAGATTCCTCCTCTTATTGACCAAACCAATTCTCCTGAAGATAAGACTTCTACCTGTAATGACTCTTTTGAGGAAGAGTTTCTTGCCCCAAGTAAAGCCATGCCAGCTGCTGATCAAGACTTATTGTTGTTCCTTGAAATCTTTGGCATGGCAAGTTGGGATCCTTCCATGCTAAATTGGACAGCACATGGGAATCCCCCTTCGTTGATATTTCTCCTGCTTCTATAACAGGCCCAGACGTTGAACCATTAGTAATGGAACCCATGCAGAACCAGGTAATGGGGAGGGTGTAGGAGCCTATGTCTCCAATAAACCAAACACTTTTATTCAAACCAAATGGATGGGAAAGTTGACTAAAACAGAAGTACACTCCCCCATCCTCAGCCATTATCTGGTTCCGAGAAGCTTAATTTGGATTCTGCTCCAGCCAGCAGTGCTGCCTCCTGGTTTCTCCTTTGGACCTAACTTGTTCCTTGGCATTGACTCCTGGCTGGGTCCTTGCACCTGACTGTGGGTTGCTCTGTAGCCTTACAGTCAGCTGATGGCATGTCCACAGACTGGATAATTGTCCCACACGGGAATTTGCCATATGCAAAATCAGACCAATTTGCTCACTGTGGTTTATACATATGGTATGTAAACCATGGTATCCCTACTATGGTTTACATGGGAATGGTAGCAAGGAACATCTTCCAGAAGTTTCTTGCTACCATTCCCAACATTCCTGACAATTGTTCAGGCTGACTGGGGGTTCTGGGAACTGAGTCCAAAACCTGGAACACAATGACAACGAGTTTCAGACAAGAGTCTTGCCCATTTCTTCTTCCAGAAGATAAAGGCTGGACCTGGGACCTTTGAAATGGAAAGCGTATGCTTTATCACTGACCTGTGGCACTTTCAGATTTTCTCTTTAGAAAGAAAAATCATACATTGCTTCTGCAAGATGTATGGGCTCAAGCCTTGTTGAAGCTCTGGCGATAAAGAACATAAATACATTATAAGAAATGTATTTGCATTTGGCATTCTAAGATTATGTACTGGTGCAAGCTGACCACACTTTTTCTGAAGGAACTGATCATGTTGGTAGCAGTGCCTTCAGCCTGCAATGACTGTACCTTCCATCTACAGGGAGCCATAAAAAAAGAGGCTGCGGTGTTACTTGAATGGTCATGATTAATTCACTTGAAATATTTCCTCCCCCAGCCCCCACCGCCCCAACCATGTTCAAATACAACGAACTATCACTAGTAGCTTCCATTCCTGGGGACAGACTTTTTCATGTTAACACCAATGGTTCCTTAAGAAAAAACTAGTCAAGGAAAGAGCATTTCCAAGACATTCAAGATTAATGTGTAGAATGGTTTCTTCTCTACCTAGCAGCCCTCAAAGGTTGTGACTGTCAGTCTGCCTTTTAATTTTCAGCATCCACGTATTTCCCAGCATCCAAGGGAATTGTCAGATCCCCCCTTTAAAAAGAGAGAGAGAGAGAAATCACAGCAGGAGAGCTCGCAAATTCAGTTTCCCGTGCTCAGGGGCAGTCGGAGGAAGGCGGTGCAGTCTAGAACAGGATGCATGCGGAGGAGCTAGACTCTTGCTGGCCCGCGCTGCTGCTGCTGCTGCTGCTGCTGCTGCTGAGAACTCCTGCCTTTACTCGTTAGTCAATCCCCCTTCCTCGCCAGCGCGCCCCCCCGTTGCAAGCTTGGCTTTTACGTGGATGCTGCTCGCAGGGGAGGCAGTGAGATCACCGCGAGGCGCGCTGTGTTCAGCACCGCCGAGGAGGGACAGCTCCCAGAGAGCTTTGACCCGGGAGCGGGCTGATCCGCCGCCGCCGCTCGACCGCCCAGCCTGGGACCTGGAAGCTCCCTGCCGCCATGGAGCTGTCCACCCGCCCCGGTGCTGAACGCTACCCCGAATTTCCCTACAACAGCACCTTGCAAGACTTCAGCTCGAGTTTCCTCACGACGTCCAATACCACCAGTCAATCCCCGCTGAAGGACACCTCTTCCATCATCATAGCCATTGCGATCACCGCTCTGTATTCAGTGGTCTGCGTCGTGGGGCTGTTGGGGAACATCCTGGTAATGTATGGGATTGTCAGGTAAGGGCAGAACTCAGCGTGTGCAGCCCCAGCGGTTTCCCTGGCTGGACAGAAGAAAGTTGCCTTGCTCGTTGCCCAGTACTGTGGGTGGGAGCGGCAAGGAAAGAAGCCATGCTTCAATGCATACGGGAAGATCAGTAGAACTGTGCGTTGCACCAACTTGGAGATAAACTGTGTGCTTAGAAGACACTCTTAATGATTCGTGTGTGCGTTTGTGTGTGTCAGAGATCACGTGCTTGTGGACTGAATTATATGTAACACAGTCTTTGAAAAAAGTGGTTAGCAATGTGTGTGCTGATTTGCCTTGCATGTTAGTGAGTGTAGTGTGTTGTTTTAAGAACAGTGTGTGTAAGAAAGTCCCCCCCCCACACACACACACACAAATGGTTTGCCTGTGGGAATTTTGTGCCTTGTGTGTAGATGGAGTGATACTCCATTGTTGGGAAGTAATCTTAGCAACCAAACATTTTTTCAGGAAAAAATGTAGGAATATGTTTATGCATCAAAAAAGTAGTCTCAGTGCATGTATTTAAGAGTGAAAAATGCAAGAATACTGGCTGTTGTTGCTGTTGTTAAGAGGGCAGGGATCTGCAGTGGCAGATCAGTGCATGGAGATTTTTTTTTTTTTTTTGGTGGTTTCAGTTTTTTGACTCCATCCATCCTGTGGATGTTATATGTGGGTGTTTTCAAATCGAGGAAGCACCCTGGAACAGAAAATGCATTGGCTTATGAATGATGCAGTCTCTAATATCAGAGAGGCCAGCTGCACAATGAACAGATTTAGACATCTCTGCATCTGTGAAGGTGGAAAACAGAATTTTGCTCAAACCCATTGGTCATGCTGGCCGTATGTGTGTCTGTGTGCAAGACTGCCAGTTTTAATTTTGCATAAACGAAAGTGAAGATGGTTTGCAAAAGAAGCTTTAATTGTGTGTGGAAGCATGAACTTGCCTTAAACATAGTGTGTTGTTTTAATAGCTCTCATGTTTGGCTTGCGCTAGAAGAAATTGCCAAGAGTACTCCATACTAATTACACTAGTCTGCAGAAATATCCATGAATTCATAATGTGATGTAGTATTTTCTGGTCCTTGAACATTGGTGTGATCAAATCCTTATGCAATCAAGTGATCCTTGGCTAATTAACGTTAGAAGCTGCCAGTAACACCAAGTTAAACCAATAGTCCATCTTGCCCAATATGTTCAGCTCTGGCTGGCGGTAGAACCCCTTGCTGGTCTCTCAGCTAGAAATTCTGGGGATGCAACTGGGGATGCCTTTGCATACAAACCATGTGCTTTATCAGTGAGCTATGGCCAGTCATGGCAAGCGCATGGTTAAAGAACAGTGGTTTGCACATACATGCACATACCCGCCCCTTACTAAATTCACTTGGAGTCAGGTAGAAATAGTTCCCTCAAGCGGCATCATGATCCAGATTCTATATCCTGCCACCTGCATATATTTATAAACCTGCCCAGACCTCAACTTGTGAAAATCACTGTTAGTTTGGGGGTTGTGAGTCATCCTTCACATATTTTTGTAGGGAAAATTGGAAAGAAGAACAGTGGGGCTGGTGTAGTTTTTCATTGCTATTCATTGCTATTCTGAGTCACTCTTAGTGTAGAATATCCAAGATTGTGGGCAGAAGTGTTCACGCAGCAACTCAGAAACTCATCATCAGATTTACAAGCTGGCTGTACATTTGGCAAAGTTGCCATTTTGGAAAATACATTTTTCATCTAGTCAGGAGACTTGTGGCTTTGTGTGACAAGGTAATCAATTGTTTGTTCTGTAAATACATATTCTTCTTTTGGACTTAAATGTGTGAAGTGTTTCCATTTGTGCCTGCTGACATTCTTTATATATTCTTCGAATATATTTCCCTGGCAAAGGGTGCCTTGTGGTTACAGACATAAGAGAGTAAAATCTTGGTTCTGAAAGTACAGTATTTTGAACTTAAGGTAAGTGGGTATAGATCTCCATCTGAATCCCCTCAATTAAAGCTAAACCTCTAGTCCTTCCTGCTCAAGAAATATTATTTCAGAACTTTTCCGAGTGCCCATGAAAAACCTGACCTAAATTTCTCATTATATCCTTATACCACTGTAGTCATCTTTACCTGGACTGCTTTCAACACAATTCAAAATTCATTGTTGGTTCAAAATGTGGCTGCTGGAAAGCTGGTGGGCAAAAAATGTTCACAAGTCTGCGATGCTAATTTCATTTCTGAGTTCAAAATGGAGGTGGCTTATAAATGGCTAGGTTATTTTAAGAACATCTTTCCCCCATACAAATCTACCCAAACCCTTTAAGACGCATTGCTCTCTGTCCAGCACTGGCAAGTTGCTGGGTAATGGGAACGGGATTTTTGGTGGTGTCACCACAACTTTTAAATTCTATTCCCCAAGTAGTTGCATGTAACTCTCTCCCTTTGCAAGTTTAGAGGAACCCTTTTCAGTTTCAGAGGTTTTTTTTATGACTGAGTGTTGTATTTTTATGTTGTTTTTCATGCTGATTTTTGATATTTTAATGATGATTATGCCTCAATCCGGATCTAACATCTATCTCTCTGTGTGTGTCTTTAAGGGACCTTTTCTCCTAAGGATCCCCATTTGTTTAAAAAAAGGCTGTGTGGACAGGGGAAGGGGGTTGGTGGTGGCTGATGGGTGTTCTAACACAACACATCTGGAGGGCATCCACCTGAGCAAGGGAGCATTCAGCCACCTGAATGTGGCGAGCCCTGCAACATGGGCTTGGTGGCCTTTTTCAGCCATCAAGCCCCTGTGCAACACCGTCAGGGTTCTTGCAAGGGCATCCAATCTGCCCGGCCTGCTCCAGCTGCTTCAACACTTTCTCTGTGCCAAACATAAGCTGGATGCACCGAGGCAGCTCTAAAGCAGCACATGGTGCTCATCTCTCCCCTAAATCCAGCTATCGGGCATGCTGTGTCTGAACAGCCTATGGCAAGGGTAGGGAATGCACGCTGATGGGCTGCGAACCCCAGCCGTCCTTGACAACATAGCCATAGGGAGGGGATGATGGCAGTCGTAACCCTACAGCATCCGGGAGGGGCCTGCATTCCTCATCTCTAGTTTAAGGCAATGAATTCCAGGGGTGAATTGTACATTTCCTGACACACTTGATTTTGCCAACTGGCAAACAATCTCATGGATTCATAGCACCGTCTACAGCCTGTGAAAATGGCTAAATTTCCCTGCATTACAATATTTTGACAGCTCCATCCTTTCACTGTCTCCACTTGGTTCATAACTTTAGAACTCTCTGTCTTGTCATGCCCAGCTTGATTTTTAGTCTTGAACATCAGCATCAACACCTGCTTGGTTCTTTCTCCTCGAGGGAGTTGCTTGATCCCCCTTAAATGAGTTTTTTCTTCCTCCCTCACCTTAGGATTTTAATGTTCATTCCATACCTACCACTTGACCATTCAGCAAATACAGTATTGTTTAAAGGGAATGAATAGCTCCAGAAAAGCAGGCCAGGACCTGTGACTGGGCTAGCTTCCCAGAGGTGTGCTTCTGAGGTCTGTAGAAACACCATTTTCCCTCCATTCCCTGACATTCATAGCCTGGAAACTCACTGGGACATGATAGGAATACCTCTTTTCTTCCTCTCCTCTATTGCAGTTTACCCTGACTGGGTCCCCTCCAGATGTTTTCAGCAAGAACTCCCAGCATTTCTGACTCCTGCCCATGCTGGCTGACAATGATGGGAGGTGAAGCCTAAAACATCTGGAGGGCATGAGGCAGGTACCCCTTGCTTTCAGAGGATATTGAAGCTGGGATGGAGTGTTTAGCAGGCATGGGTAAACCTGTCAGTTTCACTCCTTCACACATCTTCAATTTTATTTGAAAACTATCCACGTTCTTTCTGCCCTGTTCATGAATAATTTTGTGAATGTTAGTTAATGCTCATTTAAAAGAAAAAACAACCTGAGGCCATCTGCATCAGAGGGCCATGCTAAAATGTTTTTAAAGTGTTAAAAATGAGGAACCTGTTAGAAAATGGAGGGGCGCAACTCTGATACAACATCAGAAACAGGAATGCCTAAATGCACCAGAATCCAAAGCCAGACTTTAAGAACTAAACACTAAGCCGGTTAAGCAAATCTTTTCCCCCACACTTGAATGTCTTTCCATCCAATTTATGAACAAATGTTCAAGTTTTGTTCAGTTGCTATCAATAAACATCTAGATGACACACGAATCCACCCTTAGTGTGAAAACAAAGTGACATGTGCTAATCAGATTCATATTCGTGACTGTATTTTATCCAGCGTCTGCTGAACTAAGTAGCTGCATTTTCAGGTGTCAAAACATCATAAAGGGGTATCTGTGTGTACATGTGTCTGTCTGTCTATTTATCTATCTATCCATCCACCCACCCATCCAAAACCAATGTTATCAATCACTGCTTTGACTAATGGGCAATATAGAAATGCAATCAATGTTTTCAATGTACTGAATATCAACACTACAGTATACCAAAGAATGCAATGTATCAGCCGAGCACCAATTCATAGAATTCTGTGTACCATCTCACATTGTCCAAATGTATAATTCCGAAATATTCCAGCCTGAATCCAGCTTGTTACCTACTTGCACTGAAATCAGTGGCCCTTAATTTGGTCATGCTTAACTCATGGTCCATTGATTTTGATAGGTCTGTTCTAAGTTTCCCAAAATCTGACTCAGGCACTATTTATTTCTTTTAGTATTTTGGGGCCCTTTTAAGATGACTTACATAAAGGCACTATAAAATAATGCCTTTTTTATAGAAACCACTTCTAATACACAGGCAAGGGTTTTCTTTTATTATGTTGTTCTCTAGCTTGCAAAAAGAGTTATTGTTATTTTTAGTGCATTGGCTTGGAGACAGACTTCGTCACAGACAAGCGAGACCCATTGAAATCTATGGGAGGTAAGTTAGTCTGACAACTATTTCCAGTCCCATAGATTCAGTTGGATCTATTCTAAGTATTAC